CACTCCCCTCATATTCTCTAATTTCCTCTTTTCCACCCAAAAAGCCTTTTTTCTCATTTATTTAATTAATTATCCCTAAGAAATCAAAAAGGGTGCAAGCCATGGTGGAGGAACTAAAACGCATAGAGGTCAAGAAAACTTGGTCACTAGTCGAAACGCCACAAGGTAAGAATGCAATTGATGTGAAGTGGGTGTACAAAGTAAAGTTGAATCCAAAAGGAGAAGTAACCAGACACAAATCAAGACTTATAGCCAAAGGATTTCTACATAAAAAAGAATTTTATTTTGATGAAGTTTTTGCACCAGTTGCTAGGATCGAAATAATCAGATTGGTTGTTGGCCTAACAAACATAAACAAACAATATGTGTATCAGACGCATGTGAAGTGGGCATTTTTGAATGGCCCCTTAAATGAAGAAGCTTATGTAACACAACCAGTTGGTTTTATGAAGTATGGCTAAGAAAACAAGGTATACATGTTGTAAAAAGCCTTGTACAGACTCAAAAAAGCTCCAAGAGCTTGAAACAAGAAGATATATGATTTTTTTAAGGGAAAACGGGTTTGTTAAGTGCACAACTGATCGCGACTTTCTATGTCTAACAAATCTAACTGCAAGTGCACAGTCTATCGCGTAGTAATAATAGATATCGATCCCACAGGGACTCGTAATCAATCTAGTGTTATTGGGTGTTAAGGTGTTTAGCTAGGTCGGTTTGGTTTCAAGTTGAATAATGGCAGAATAGATGCGTAAACTAAAGGGAACTAAGGTTTTACTTAAGATATGAATTTATGAATCGATATGCAATAATTTTGTTCTTCGGGGATTTGACAACTTATTGGCGTATTAAATGTTTTCAAACTTAGTTTAAGAAGAAAATAGTGATTTAAAGACTTTTGTCTCACGATGGTTGTTGACGCTAGTCGCAACTTTAAGGCGGAACGTATGCTTTCGCTATCCCGTTCGGGGTTAAAGTTACCTTTTGAAAATCTCTAAGTTCTAATCCTTTTTAAAGCGCTTTCGCTGTTTTTAAATCGAATGCCTAGTTTTTACTATCTGGCCTTACCTCAGCTGTCGCTTGTTGGTTTGTACCTTAATATGGTTTCCCACTGTCGTGGCAAAACCACCGTAAATAGCTTTTCACTGTCGTGACAAAGATTTATTTAGAATTTTGATTAAAAACTAAAACCATAACTGAGTTTTTGAAAAGAGAGAAACTACGCCAATTATTATCAAATTTCGTTTGAATTATTATTACATATCGATTACAGTAGTTTAGCTAGACATGGAAATAGAAATGGCAATACATAAATAAAAACAGTAATTAATAACATGCATCATAATGAAAACTGAAATTACGATTAAAATTTAAAACCTGTGAAATATTCCAATTGGCCTTTGGGCAGATCCTCCACAAATGTTGGCAGGATTCTGGTCTTGGTGCCAATTGATCGTACAAGGGAAATAGAAATTACAAAATATCAAAGAATGCAGAGAAAGGAAAGAGAAACAAATAAGAATAGAATAATGGAAAGGTTGCTCTGAAGACGAATTGGCAGCACTTCGTTGTCTTGAATTCGGCTCCCCTTTTCAGGTCCCAACCTCTTCCTTTTATAGAGGGAGAGTATCTAACGGTTATTCCCTCAGGAAGTGGGTTTGAGGCAGAAAAAATAGGAGTTAGTGGCCACACTTTTGGTCTTTGAGGGGAGAAATTGCACGTGACTTCATTCTGCCACGTTCTGGCTGCATGACCGTCGTCATGGCTGTGTGACGGTCGTCACACGCATGACGGTCGTAACAGCTGTGTGACGGTCGTCACATCAGTCAGGCTCGTTTCTGCTGGTTTTTACTTGGTTTTTCATGCATTTTCCACTTGTTTTTGCTCCTTTTCTTCATTTTGCTTTGCTTGGACATGTTCTTCGAATACCTGCATAATACTTAGACAAATAGCATGGAATGCCCCGAATTCGGAGTGAAATCGGTCAGACATTAGTTAAAACAAACATCATTTTATAAATATATTTTCGCGTTATCAACAACTGAGCATAATGTACATGTTAGAAGAAGCAGAAATGAAGTGTACATACTATGTCTCTATATAGATGATTTGTTGATAACAGGAAGTTACAAGAAGAAGATTAAAGATTTCAAATGTGGCCTGAGCAAGGAATTTAAAATGTCTGATCCGGGCAACATCTCATATTTCCTTATGATTGAACTCTACATGAGTAGTAGAGGTCTAATGATGCACGAAAATGAGATATGCAAGGGAGATACTCAAAAGATTTGAGATGGAGGGTTGCAATGCAACTTCGACACCAGTTGAACTAAGAACGCAATTGATGAAGAACTCAAATGAAGATGATGTTGATCCAAAAAAATATAGAGGACTCATTGGATCATTAAAATACCTTTGTCACACAAGGCATAATCTAGCATATAGTGTAGGTATGGTGAGTAGATTCTTTCAAAAGCCAAAAGTAATCCATCTTGTAACAACCAATAGGATACTAAGGTACCTCAAAGGAACATTAAACTATGGCATTTTGTTTCCTGCAGCAAATAAAAGAAATGGATGCAAACTGATGACATACATTGACTCAAGTTGGTGTGTTGATGTATAGTATAGAAAATCCACAACTGGTTACGTGTTTATGCTAGGTTGTGCACCAATTGCTTGGAGCTCACGAAAAGAACTTGTTGTATCTCTATCATCGTGTGAGGCTGAGTACATAGCTTTCTCTCTTTGTGCATGTCAAGCAACGTGGATGGTGAATGTGATCGAGTAGATTGCAGGTGAAAATCATGGAGCAAAGATCATGAAGATTGATAACATGTCTGCTATCAATTTGGTCAACAATCTAATAGCACGTGGAAGAATCAAACACATAAAGATGAGATTTCATTATCTTAGAGAGTAAGTAATAAATAGAAAACTGAACTTGAAACACTACAAAACTGAGAATCAGATTGCAGACGTCATGATAAAGGTTGTGCAAGTTAAATTGCTCAAGAGATTGAAAAATATGATGAATGTAGATAGTTTAAACACGATGAATCAGGTGGTGTGTTTAATATGTAATTCTTTGTATTAAGCATGTTTATAAAGGCAAAGTCATATATATTCAATAGAATCATATGTAAGAGTCGAATATGCATGTATTTAACAAAGAGTCTAATACAATTTATAATAATTGAGATTGTGTATAGTTGATAGAATTGAATACAATCTGTCAAAATTTAGTTAGTTTAAAATTCGTGGAGGCACACCTTATGTATGCTAAAAGGTGTGAAAAGTGAAAAACACAATTTTAGATAGTTTTTTTGCCATATTGGTCAATAATCATTCTCCCTTTCAATTTCATATATTATTTTTCTCTCTTCCAAAATTACTACTTTCTCAAAAAAAAATTGTTTTTTAAATCCTTGTGCGAGAAAATCATTTTCCAAAATTACTACTTTCTCAAATAAAAATTGTTTTTTTTTAAATCCTTGTGCTGAGAAAATCATTTTACAATCAAAATATGGTTGAATCGCTCGAATAAACAAGAATTTTAATTCAATCAAAAAAGTGATTAAATCATATTTTATCAAGATCAATTCCAACACCCAAATGGCATAATCAATCTTCCCAAAAAGTGTAATCACTTAAACTCAGACCAAGCTTATGACCACAAACAATGGATTAACGTTTCAACTTCCAATGCACGTTTCAACTTCCAATGCACGTTTCAACTTCCAATCCAATTTCGGAAACATGTATTGCAACCTAGGAGTGCACAGCGGAAAGTTGCAGGGACCTATTACCTTGTTCCAATGTGCAACAAAGAGACAAGTACACCCACATTAAATAATGAAAGCTCAAACCAGCACTTTCCCATATATTATCAAGTTTTTATGTAAATAGAATATTAAATTTCAACAGTTCTTATTATCTTGGTTGGTTGTCAGACGAAAATGGAGTATGGGATAACACCATTATCAAATATCTCAAATCTTTTTCTCGACACTTTCACCATGACGACAACGAATAGAATATCATGCTAAACATAAATAGTATACCAAACTAATACATTATTAATCTTTTTGTTTTCTTTTTCTTGCAAGACATCTAAAGACTTTCTTTTAAAAGTTGCTGCAATTGTCATCTTTATGGGTGTGATTCGGAATATAATCAATATGGACTCCATGATCGTGCAAAACTTGGCAACTGTTTTCTTTCAAAAGTATAACGAAAAAGCCGATGTGAAATAAGTTAGTCCAATTCATAACCATGAGATACTAGACCCAAAAAAAAATACGGTATATAAATAGCACTCTTCCAATAAGATTAGATGAACTGATACAAAGACTATTGATCAAAAAGACAGACAGATCAGAACTGAGCTCCCATATTAAGAATCTCGCATTTCTCCTATACCTGAAATCAAGAGGAAAGAAAACAACTGCTTATTCAACTTGGGTTTGACACTTGAAGTGACAATTGCAGTGTAAAAACTAATTATATGAAACAGTGCTTGAAATGAATTAACACCATATCACCATATACTTCACAACACATATACATCAATCCTTGCTTGGGACATCACAACTCAGGCATTTTGGATAATATTATGATTTTGGGGTATTCATCTGAGGCGGATCCAATTTTGTTTACTATATTGATGTAAATTAATTAATAATATATTTTTTAACTGGGCTTTAAAAGCCAAAGTCTTTAAACTAGATTGATCCAATTTTTAAAATCAGTTTTCGAGTATATCAGGTTTAAACACAGTTCAGAATAAAAGCTGATCAGGGAACTGGTTCTGAATAAAACCAGTTTGTCAAACGCCGGTCCAGTTCTGGAGGAGGAAATCTGGACAAGTCTTGAAACTCAATCTACAAATCTGGTTTTATTATGGTTGGTCATGTAGACTAAACATGATTAATAGCTTGAATCAGAACAAACCTGTAAATGATTTAATTGGGACAAGATTTGACACAGCTTTGGTGGAAAGCTTAATCTTGAGGTTTCATTGCAGGGAAGAGAAGAACCTCCTGTCAAGACAAGGACGGAAAATTATAAGATATAGTCAATAAAGTGAGCATGCAAATAGAGAGACAGAGCAGAGAAAAAAGAGAAAGACCTTAATATTTTGGGAGTCGGTCAATAACATGGTCAACCTATCAATACCCAGACCCCAACCACCAGTTGGTGGCAAACCATACTCCAAAGCCGTACAAAATGTCTCATCTAAGGCCATTGCTTCATCATCACCTGATTGCCGATCCTGATATACAAAACAAATAAAAATCACTACTATTGTTTAAAAGAAAATGGCCAACCGATTTAGCATAATTATTTTAATTCCACAGTATCTTATCTTATTACCTTGAGTTGCTCAGCAAATCTTTGTCGTTGTACCACAGGGTCATTCAATTCAGTGTACGCATTGCAAATCTGAAAAGTAACAAAAACATTCATCAGAAGTCAGAGGCGTGAATCACTTTTGTAAAAACATCAATCACCCAAACGGCATGATATTACCTCATGTTTGTTAACGAACAATTCAAAACGTTCTGTCAGGCCAGGTTTTGATCTGTGCCACTTTGCCAACGGACTCATTATCTCAGGATGGTTTATGATGAATGTGGGATTGACACATGTTTCCTCCAAAAAGTGCCCGACAAGCTGCAATAACAACACAAACAGTTAATTGCATTATCTGCATACTACTTGGGGTTTGCTACATACATGAATTAATAAACAATGGTAAAATGTCTTGTTATGAATCATAAATGGACTATTCAACACTGAATTTTCTATAAAAAATTCTTTTGGTTTTGTCTAATTTTTAAATCACAAATAAATCCAATTCAATCAATACATAAAAGTAAACATCAAAAGATATCAAGTTAAGGAAAAAATCAATCGTATCAAAGGCACAAACATGTATGAAACTAACGAAAAAAACAAACTATTGAGGCATCACTATCTGATTCCACCCTAGCTTTGGTAAAAATTTAAAGAAAACATCTTCCAAAAAAAAATTTAAGAAAACAATGTATTTTACAGACAGGAATACAGAGGCTAAAAAGATGGAACCCAGATACAGGAAAGAAGTACAATAACTAGAAGTGCACGCTTTTAAAACTGAACTACCACTTTTCTTAAGTGACAAAAAAGCAAATACTCCGCATAAAATTCATCAACGGGAAAAAGAAGAACAAAAGAGTACCAGACAATATTTATTTAAGCTTGACTAAACAAGCAAACCCTTTATTCTCATAAAATTTTGTTATGAATGACTGACTAATTAGAATCAAAAGCTCTTGACTAGTAAATAAAATTACACGCTGCAAAAAAGCATATACTCCGCATAAAATTCATCAACGGGAAAAGAAGAACAAAAGAGTACCAGACAATATTTATTTAAGCTTGACTAAACAAGCAAACCCTTTATTCTCATAAAATTTTGTTATGAATGACTGACTAATTAGAATCAAAAGCTCTTGACTAGTAAATAAAATTACACGCTGCAAGCTGTTCATTTACAAAAACTAAAATATCTCTGATTGTGTCTTCCTCTCATCCATAACAACTTAATTCTGCCAAACAAACACAAAAAACTGACACTGGAATCTTATTTCGGTCTTATCTGTTTATCATCTGTATCAACTACCCAAAATCAAGAGTATGTAAAACTAAAAAATAACAGATAGACAGTCCCAAAACAAAAAATGTGCCATTGCTTACAAAGGAAAAGAATATTCCACCAACTCTTGCATAAATGGACAAATAATAAACAAAGGAAACCATACCTAAAAAGTAAGGGGTAAAAGGAAATGATATTACCTTATCCAACAAACGAGTAGTTGTTTCAGGAGGGGGACATTTGATTTCATACTTCAAACAGGCATTCTTCAAATATTGATTAGTTTCATCACTCGCCAAGTCTTTGGGAATACTGAGGCCAGCAATCTGCTCTAGTCCTTCAATCATGTCAATCCTTCTGCAACAATAAAAAAACCCAAATCAATCATTCACAAAAACAATAGGATATTAATGACTATCAGCGACAAAAATACACACCACACACCTGAATGGTGGAGTAAAGTCGATTTCAATAGGATCCTTATCAATCCCATTTGCATGATACTTGATTTTATAGCTGCCCTTTGTAAGTTCCTTGACCATACCTATTCAATGGTTTCAATATGAGATTAGTGGGATTTTAAACTAAAATATTAATAGAAATACTGTGGCATTTAAAGACCTAGTAAATGCATACCGCTCAACATGTTCTCTGTTATCTCCATTACGTCATTGTAATCCATATAAGCCATATAGAACTCACAGGTAGTAAACTCGGGATTGTGAGTCAAATCTATACCCTCATTCCTAAATTGCTTTCCAATTTCATAAACACGGTCCAGCCCACCTACAACCAACTCCTTGAGATAGAGTTCTGGAGCAATTCTCATGAATAATCTCATGTTAAGGTCGTTATGATGAGTTACAAATGGCTTAGCAGCAGCACCCCCAGCAATCATATTCATCATAGGTGTTTCAACCTAAGAGTGGTGGAAAAGTAGGTGAATGGAGGGAAAGAAATTGCAGGAATCCAACAAAAGAATATTCAAGGAACAGAACAAACCTCTAAGAAATCAAGCTTGTCCAAGAACGACCTAATGTAAGAAATGATTTTAGACCTAGTCTTGAATATTTCTCGAACCTCTGGATTAATCATCAAATCCAAATGGCGTAACCGATATCTAGTTTCCTATGAAAAAAGATAATTAATAGAATAAATCAAAATGTTACAAGTACAAAAAATAATAACCAGAGATAATGCAAAAGAAAACTTTCAGTTCAGCATCTACAGACAAAGATTTATCAAAACATATACATAACAGAAAAATGCTGGAGAAATTCCACTTTATCTTCAATATATGAAAAATTAACATAAAAATAAAGATGCAAGCTTCAGAGTTGCAATATAGTGCATCCTTGAACATTCAATTAGCAATTAAATCAACAGTTTGATTCACTTTACTTTGGGTGTAAATATGTTTGATTTTGAGTTGAAATCAATTTTGCAAACAAGTTTTTTTTAATTACCTAGTATGAGAACTGTGTGCCCATGTAATAATTTTCATTTTGGCAAGGCCGTTAGAAAGTTGCCCGCCAATAAATGATTCCACAGAAATCAATTTAATTAATTCATTTAACTATCACCAAGTACCTCATTACTGGCAAGTTGCAATTACGTAAATTCATCAAGCTGAACAATAAAAAAATTGAAATAAAATTAAATAAGTAACAAATGCCCGGTAACTAGAAGAATTGAATGTAAAGATAATACGAACTTCAGGTCATCGACTATACATTTGAAAAAGAAAACACACAATGCACACTGCACGTAAGAAGAAGTGAATAATAACAAGCAAGCAAGCAATTATATATCTCAAATCATCCCCCATTCTAAGTGCTAACCGCCAATGGAGGAGGGGAATTCGCATTCTAACATTTAATAAGATAGTATCTACTAAGTTATCCCCCTCTGATTTGTTCAGATAATAGATAGTATATGACAGACTCAAGCAATGAAAATGTCTATAAGACAGCATTCCATGCCATAATACCTGATCTTTCAAAATGTATGCTTCGGGATTCCTGGTACTTCCTGGTACCCATGCATTTTTCTGTACATCATTAAAAAAAAGTAGCAATGTAATTGTATAGTGTTATTGGTCATCAGAATGCAACAAACGTAAAGGAATATTGCCGACCTTCACATTTGAATTATCAACGGCAGCCGCAGATTTTTGTCTTGGCATCATATGCAAACAATGAGACAGCGCCACAAAAGTTTTGGGGAAAATACTAAGCTCTCCCTTCTTGCTTTTGCCTGAGCAATTAAACAAGGGAAACCTTTAAAACAATATTATAATTCAGAATACAATACTAAAGAATAAATCCTAGTAAGATTTAAATAAATGTAAGTGTAACTAATATGGCCTTCAAATTTTGCAACTAACAAACACTTAGAAGGGATATAGCAACACAAACCTGGAAAACCTGTGATGCCAACAATATCACCACGCTTCACATTAGAATGGAATTTGGAAAACTCAGCTTCATTCAAGTCCGATTTTCTACATAGAACATATATTAGTTGTTTCTGTCCTATATTATCCGCGAAAAACATAAAGAAGATATCTGATCTAAAGCGGAAAATAGACACATTAAAGATAGAACTAAAATAAACCACAAAAAACAGCTTCACAAATCACTAGTTCTATGCAAGCCAAACACCAAAGTAACAAGAGTCAAGAAATATTATTTATTCCTTATAACTAGCATCTGGTGTCGGTATTCATACTTTGAATTACAGGATTTGTAGTCACTTTATATTTTACACACTCTAAAGAGTCAAGTCTGGATTCTTCACGGGATTGTGTAGGCCCGTAAGTCTGACAACCTTGGTTCAGATTGTTTAACCTAACCAAAAATGACCACCGATAACAAGTAGAAATGGTACTAAATTAATCAAAAAAACAGGAAAAACTAACAGATATGAAGACATTATTTACATATTTTCTAAAAACAAAACGTAATTCAACCAAAAATGTTTTGACCAAATACAATGCCAAAATATGCCAAGCTAGAAAAGTCCTCGTAAAGATTGTTACTATTCATCCTCTTAATGATTTTCATGTCACATGAAAGATTATAATATTAAGTTTTTAAAACACTATAATAAAGATTTATCAGAGTATCCATCTATGCTTAATGGTGGCTGAAAGGCTTTTCACATGGATTCAGTTCAACAACATCTAGCATCTAAAAAGTAAGCTGCTCTATCCCATTTCAATATGACAGCGTTTGAAATTAAGAGCATGTGAATTTTTTTTATGAAATGAAAAAGTATATAATAAAGAATTTGTTTCAAGAAATTTGTAATAAATATGTAAAAAAAAAATTGGTGAAAAACTGCTTTAGTCATTTTCAGGTAATTATGAAAAATCTCAAAAAAAGCCGCATCAATTAGTCACTTTTTAAGCTTAAATTTTGAGCTTTTAAAAAAAAAATAGAAATCATAGTCTAGCAATTGCATATGCTAACTTGTACCAGCATAATCTTTAGATGTGCAAATTTGAGGAAAACAGGAATGTGTACCTCGCATCTGCCATAACCTGAACCTTAAAACCACCACCATGCAGGTCATAAAAGACAAGCTTTGCACCAGAGGCACGTTTGTGCATGATTCGTCCTGAAATACATAAAAACTATTAGAATCAACAAATATATCAACACAAGCAACCACCAAATTCAAAAACAAAAACAAAGAAATTAATGACTACCAGCCAAAGACACAGAAACATCCTCGAGGTGTTGCCCATCGCTTAAACCTTCATATTCCTTGATGTATTGATCAATAGACATAGTGACAGCGAATTTGTGTGGATATGGATTTCTCCCTTCTGCTTTTTCAGCTGCAAGATGCTTTAGCCTATTCTCCAGGTATTGCTGCAGCAGAACAAAACCCAAGAAACCAAAAAAAAGTTCATCAAGCACAGTATAGCTGAAATAACATCTCAGAAACATTACATAGAGAAAAGGAGAAGTTATACCGTTGGATCCATATCTTCGTCATCAGCAGCTGCAGGTTTGTTTTCTTTGACACTTAGTGTTTCAAGAGCCTGGAGAGACATTAACATTTACATTTCATATAAAAATATAAATTTTAAGAAATTGAAACCACTACAAAAAAAAATCACACAAAATCTCACTAAAATATAATTTTAGAAATTAAATGTATAAATTTCACCACTAATCAAGGGTAGCAGTATCAATTGTTTCAGAAATTAAAATCAATATGCAAAGAACAAAATCACACAGAATTCTACTAAAACACACCGAAACTAAATTTAACAAAAGAAAAAATAATTTTCACCACTAATCGAAGGTTGCATTATCAATTGATCAAAGCTATTACCGAGAAATGGAAATGAGAGTTACCTTCCTTGCTTTCTCCTCTTCCTTTTTCTTCAAAAGCTCTTCTCTCTGCTTGTTTTTGAGTTCACGCTTCAGTGCACTGCAAACCAGTAAACGATGAATTTAAAAATTAAAAAAAAAAAAAAAAAAAATAGAACATGAAATTCAATTGTTGTGGTGATGGAGAAATCGATTTAGCGATGAGAACAAATATTTGAAACACTTACTTTTTGCTTATAGTTTCGCCGGTGGCGGTGGCCGGAGGCTCTGAATGTGGTTCCATTGGAAGGGAAAGAGGGTTGCGGAGAGGATTTGGATGAGAGAGCGATGAGAGACAGTATCTAGGGTTTTTAAAAACGGCGGCGCTTGTATGCTTTATGTGTGTGTATTGGACTACGTTTTGGTTTTAAGTCATAACCGATTATTTATTTGATTAAAATTAATTTTGTTCATGTTAAATGTAGAATTTAAACGACATGCTTTTTTTTATTTTTGTACGCTTGTATGCTTTAATGGTTTTTAATTAATTACATGGTTAATTTATATCATGTTTTCTAATAAGTTTATTGTCCTCGATTTGAATATATTCACTTGCAATAATTAAGCTTAAATGTATTTTTTTATTTGATTGAAGTTTTTTAATTTTTAATCTTCTATTTTAAAAATTAGTTGTTTTGTCAATATGTAGATTTTTATGGCTTCTTTTTATTTGATAGTTTCATTAATGACATGACTTAGGTATAACACAGTTACGTCATATTTAATAAATATTTTAATTTAAAATATTTAATGAATATTTTTCAATTGTCTTCATCTTCCTACTTGAAGTCAGACATCAAGAACATAAATTTGTAACATTTCGTCGTAATCTTCCACCAATTAACTTCTCTAAACCTGAAATGTCTCAAAAATTAGTTTTCAATAGTAGCTATTGAAATCGTTTATTGAGGTACGGTGATCTTGATGCTCCATTGATGACGGTATGGACTGATGCAAATTCAGGACGTCGTTTTTATGGTTGTGGGATGTATAAGATACAATTTTGTTTATGATTATTGTTGTGAATCAGATGTCTTGAAACAAAATATAAACGGTATCTTTATGATCAAGAAACACACAAGAGTTAGAGTTAACAAATATAACAAGGTAAAACAACAAGGATTGGTTATAAACTGTTATTCTTTCCTTACTCTTAGAACAAGATTACAAGTATACAGAAATAACAAAATAACCTCTCTCTCTTGAAATTAAGATTTTATCTTCCTATTTTTCCTTATGCCAAGATTGAGAAACTAGCATTCTATTTATAAGAAAAATAGCACACTAACCTAATGGGTTTTTTAACAATTATCCATTACAAGCTAACTTAGGGTACAAGCTAACTTAAACACTTGAACTTACAAGCAAGGCCCAATCCAATATGTTAACAACCTAGCAATATTGACTAATGCATGTTAAAACAAACTTCGACTACGACACGCATTACTCTGACAGCAACATGCAAACATACTTCGACCTCATGCTTAATTCCTGTCGAACCAGAAGCTACCATTTGACCATACTAGAGTTCGATCCAATATCTCACATTTATTTTGATGTTCTTCTATTTTAACAATGTCACGATTAGTGTATCTTTCTTCTACTTCTTTGATGTCTCCAGCTGCAAGGTTACAAGAATTGTAGCCATTTTATTTAGTCGGATGAAGAAATGAACTCAAGAGCAAATAAAGTTATTTCCTCATTACTGTAGAATTTGAATGATGAGAAGCAAAAGGATAAAGATGTCAACATGAAAGTTGAAGAAATGAAAATGAAATTATTGGAGAAGCATTTGAAGTTCAAATGGATGATTACCATCTTTGTGTTAATTGCATTAGTTGCTTCAACAATAATGAAATAGTTCTTAATTAAATTGGTGTTGTTTGTTTATACTTTATTTTGTAACATTTCTGATTTGATTTGAAAGACACAATATGTTTAGGTTATATGTTGAAAGATCCAATAATATGTAATTTGACTTTATTATGGAATGAAATTACATTTGGTTCACAATTGATATTTGACATTTGATACCATATAAGAGTTGTTATTTGATATCATTTGGCATTTGATAGTTGATATTTGATACTATATGTTAGTACCATGGTTCTATGGTTCTAGGATTGACTAAATTTTAGTAAAACATGATCCTGCACTGATGTTAAGCAGGATATTATGACATCTCCATCTGTTGTGGTGAAAGAGCTGTTGTGGAGTGTTTTAAGGTGAATGTCATGCTGAATGTCGTGACATTCATCACGACATCCATCTGCTGTCATGACAGAGCTACTGTCATGTGTGAGAAACAACAGGAGTAGTGGTGTAGCAGGGGCTTATGACTCATGACACTGCTACTGATGCAGCAGGAGCTGGTGAAGAACTGTTGTTATGTTGTCATGTGTTGTAAATAGGATGGCATTACATCTGGTGCAGCAGGAGCTATGTACAGCAGGAGCTAACAAGAGCGGATGACAGAACTGCTGTCATGAAGAATTGTTGTCATGAATGTCATATTGAATGTCATGACATTGATCGTATGACATCATGTCTGGTACAGCAGGGGCTTCTATGATATATCTATTGACAGCAGTGTTTGGGTACTGTTGGATAGTCCACATCAGTATGTACAGACCAAAGAGATTTGTTAGAAATAAAGTGCATATTTAATGGGTGTTCATAAAAAGGATCGTTGATACTTTTTAGGGAAATATAAAGCATGTGTTTCTACTGTCATGAAGAAGATTTAGCAGAAGTGTGCAGCAGAGCAAGCTGGTCAGCTAAGAGTGAGCAAAAGCTGAATGGCATGACATTGATCGTATGACATCAGACGGGCTGGGTTTGTTTTTCTGTTATGATACCCGGTATATCTCAAGCTAAATTTCAGGAAACCTGTTATGACACCTGAGTTATCTCAGGAGAGATTCAAGGCAATGTTGACCATGCCATGACCTAATTGGACAGCACCTTGAATTGTGGAAATTAGTTTTGATTTATTAAAACTAATATTTGTTACTTCTGCACAGCCCAAGCCCAGCCTGCAGTGCTATAAAAGGAGGCGCAAAAGCAGAAGAAAAGCAAGCACTCACATCAAGAAAAACCAGAGTGTAAAATAGAGGTCTAGGATTGAGAGTCCCCTGTGTGTAAGTCACCCTTTGTATCTTTTGATACATTGAGGTAGACATATTTGTAAGTGAAGAAGGCTAATTTTCACTTGTAAAGTCTATTTAGGAATACTTGTAATCCAAGCAATTGTCTGGTGGATGATTGTTTTGGTTAGGTAGATTCTTGGTTGTGTCTCACTCGAAGCTGTGAAGCAAGAGTGTGTGAGTTCCTTTATCAAAGCTGTGAAGTAAGATCAAGGTGTATATGAAGTGTCTCTTTATACTATTTTTGTAATTGTTTGATATCACTGTTGTGTGATTGAGGGGGAGTGAGTGGGTATACTCAGGTGCTAGAGTGTCTCTAGGCTTAAGTGTCATTGGGTAGAGATTAAGTGAGAAGTGCAAACTGGAGGTTTGGCTTTGAATTGATTCTACTAATAGTGAATTTTCTCCCTGGCTCGGTAGCCCTCAGATGTAGGTGTTGTTGATACCGAATTGGGTGAACAATTATTGTGTTATTTATCTTTCTGCATTTACAATTTTGTACTTTAAATGGTTAGATAAATAGCATGACAGACTGCAGATGTCACAACAGAGGTCGTGACATCAATCATGACATTGGGACAATTTAAAGAAATTTAAATTGGTCATGGTCTGTCCCCATCCTTGTTGAGTAGAGATCAATGTTCTTGGAACACATGTGATCTACATACCAGAATTTCAATTGGTATCAGAGCAGGCATCCTGTCTATTCTGGATGAGGTCTTGGGAGATACTTTTTGGTGATTAAACATGGAAAAGCTGCAGCTGATTTGATGATCTTGTTGAGCTATAACTTATGGAGTGAAGGAGTCCATGCATCTGTTGTTATGCCCTCTGATATAAGGAGCTGCTATGACATGTTGAATGCTCTAACATCATATTTAGGGCATGTTCTTTTGGTGTTTCCGCTGCATAATTTTTTGATGAAAGAACTCTGGTAGCCCTGGGAGAAGATTGGCCTATATTCAGTTTGATGCATGACTGTGGCAGTTGTGTAGATGATTGGAAGATGGTGCTTGCAGCTGTGTTTGGTTGTGTGCCTGGACTGTTCTGTTGTGTTCTACAGTTTGCTGGAAGCTGTGTAGAGAAGATAGTGGGAGGTGATTTATTTTCACCACTCATGACCTGCAAAGGATCCTATCAGCAGAGGAAGTCATAGAGAGGTTGAGTCAAGGGTGGTATCCTTGATGTTTAAGCCTTGGTATTCTTGAAGATGTGTGGATTTAAGATCAATTGCTATTTATGGTCTACACATGTATTTAATTGATTATCCATGAAGTTCAGAGAAGGGTCTGTTACAAGGATTTAAGATTCATTGTTGTTTGAGATATTCTCAAATATTTAATGAATTATCCTTAGTTGATCATCAAGTTGTCTCCTCAGTTGTTGCACAAGCATCAGGCCCTGATATGCTTGGTTTACTTCAAGGATCTGATGTTCAACCAGATGTTGAAACATTCCAGAACTCTGTTGATTCAAGGAGTGAGTCACTAGGTCAATAAAGATAAAGTTGGATCTGACCTTATTCTAGAAACTAAGACTAGAATGTAGTGTTGATGGAAGTGAAGATGAAGACAGTCTCTTGAATCAGCCCATTGGAGTACAGCAGGTAAGGCTAGAATGGAGTGCTTATGGGAATGAAGACGAAGACAATTTGCTCTATAAGAGTATTGAAGTGCAACAGTTGTGTTCTAGTTTCTACTAGAAGCACCTGATCTATTAGCTAGAAAGTTTCCTGGCAAGAAACTTGTCTAGAAGATGGTGTTGGTGATAGCACTGCTTAGGTCAGTTTATTTCTGATATAAGTGCATAGGAGCATATGACCTTGCTCAGCTTGGAGGTCAAGGATAAGTGGCAGTTATCTTTGATTCTCTGAAGACGTCTATACTTAAGGAAAGCGAGAATCCTTTTGTAGAGACTTGTATGATCCGTCCTCCCTAAAAGAATCAAGCTTTAGCATGTTTAGTTTCTCTAAAGAGGAGTTTCATGAAGCAAATGCACTTCGAGGTAATTGTTGTGGTACAACAAAGCAGGATTGAGGGTGTCTACTCCAACTGGATGTCAAGCCTATGTCCTAATTGAGCAAAGAGAATATTCTAAG